AAATCTCGTTTGATTGGAGTTTTTTCCAGTGTGTACACACCCGCTTCCTACCTTTGACTGAGCAAAATGACTTTAAAATCAGCCGCTTAAGTATCATGCGCCTTGTATAAGCACGTAAGTTTTTCACCCAGAATCTGATAATTCATATACTTCACAAATGCTTCGTATAAATAATTGTACATAGCATTTTGTCGCACAATCTCCTAAATGTTTGAGAAATTGTCCAAGTTTCTCTCAAAAATGCGATGTATAGATCATCAATGATCAAGATCAAGGTAAATCAGGATGTTAATCTTCAAGTAAAATTAAGGCCAATATGTTTGCCTGTTTTAAAAAGGCACAAGTTAATGTCATAAAAATGAAAATTTGTGAAAAATCCAGCCGGTCTATTTGAATTGTTCTACGCGTAATATAAGCAAATACATTTAAACAATAATTTGCACATTTAAATATCGTTACACCTATAGACTATGAGACGCATGCACTCACTAATCATCGAAAAAACCTGCCCTGTATATCAACCGTTAACAATGCGAAAAATTGGCAAAAATGTATTGCAACTACGTGAAATCTTTGATTTATTTACCTGGTTGCTTTGACCAATTTCCAAAGTGGAACTTCCATTGTCGACCACAGTTGTACCGTTGTTTGCAGCCATGATTCCTCAAAAACTCAAAGTACAACTAAAATTCACAAAATATGAAAATACTACACCAAAGCAATCATCGCGAAAAGCGCGTTTTGGCGTCGGACATTGAACGGACAATTTGAACGAGAAACAAACCGCACAGCTCGAACAATACTGCAAACCGGACTGATAGAAGCAGGAGAAGCAGGCCAGCAGAAACAAACACCTGTTTGGACGTCTTTAGTTTAAGTGGGCAGGCTACGGAGGTACGAGAAACAATTCTGCAATGTTAATGTTAGGTGACAGAATCTACTTTCTAAACTGCTTACGATGTTGATGCTGGAACTGTGTGATGCGATGCTATACTGATTTAGATAACAATCTTGTCTGGTTACGATTATTAAATTATACCAGAGATTGATAATTAACGCATGGCAATAAAATTATTAAACAATAAATTATTGTGGAAGCAATTACCTGAGATATTTCAATCATATTGGCTTGCGGTTACAGCAAACAAATGATTACGGAGAAATATCGAATTCAATTCGATTCACTATATGTTTTCTAAAATGTTTTATGTTATGCGTCATTGAATTTGTTAAGTACAAACATATTTATATTTACAATTTGTCTTATTTAAATATACAGGGTGGCCGTTTGAAAACGAAACAGACCCAGTTTTGAATTTATGAGAAAGCCCTCGGACACATAGACTTAATTTTCGAGTGGCAGGCAGTTCAAAACAAGAAATAAATTAAACAACTAAAGAAATTTCTTTTTGGTCTTAAAGAAATTTAAGTTTTATATTTTTTATTTATTTACTAATGCGAAGGAATTACTTTCGTCGTGTTCAGTTTCAGATTTTTGCGTGGTTTTAGTTGAACTGTTTATCAATAGTTGGTATCATTTATAATAACAATAATAATGACGGTCTTTATTTAGCTGATAAGCTACATACCAAATACACTATACAGAGTGTCCCGAAATTAGGTGGCCAAACTAAAACAGTGAAATCTGTTCTCAAAAATAATAATAATTTTTCAAATAAACATGTATCGAAAAATGCTCCCTAACGGAGCTACGCTTCCTTGAAAAGGGGCCTAGTAGTAGGGTTTTTTGCAAAACGTAAATTTTAGGAACTCTAGTAATTTTAATATGTTCAATCTAGATCTGAAATTAAAACTGCGATTATATCACTGCTATCCATCCACATTTTATATTTTAAGTAAATATTATTATCGACACTAATTTCCTGAAGTAAATGTTTAAACAAATTTTCATTTTCTTGAATGCACACTTTGGGCCTTTTCCTAATATATTGGGTGACACGGAGAATTTCAAAAGGGGTTTGTTTTATTTGATTTCGGGCCGCACAAATCTGCCTTAGAAGCTCTTCTGGGCAATCTACTTATGTGGCATCAATAATATTGGACATATTACCCCATAGATAATAATCAAAGGGTTTAGATCAGGCGATCGAGCTGGCCAGTTTACTGCGCCACCTCGACCTATCCACCAGCTTGGAAAATGTTGGTTTAGCCAATTTCTCACAGGTTGGCCAAAGTGGGCTGGCGCCCCATCATCAGCTGGAAGAACATTTTTAACCGAGTGCTTATAGGAATATCCTCTAGCAATTCTTGCAGATCATGTTGTAGAAAATTTAAATAATGATTTACGGGTATTTAACCTATTTGGTAAAATAATCGGTCCTATCAAGATATCCCCTATGACGCCTGCCTACGCATTGAAAGAGAGATAACCTATGTAGGAAGTTTGCCTTTAGAACAACTGTCGGATTTTCGAGGCTCCAAAAATGAGTATTATGACTGTTGAATACTTTACCTCTTGAAAGGTGTGCCTCATTCGACCATCAAATGCTTTATAACTCATGTTAGTGACTTAGAATCCGACGGCAAAATTCTGTACGTGCTGGAAAGTCGTTGGCTCTTAAGTCTTGTACTCTTTTCTAATGGAAGGGATGCAATCCTTGCTAAAGATTGATTGATAGTCTCTAGAGCTTTTTTCTACTTATACCCCCACCCCAAATTATTTTTAATACATAATTAATTACATTAATACATTTTTAATTTCATATCTAGATTCAGCATATCTCAGTTACTAAAGTTCTTAAAATTTACTTTTTGAAGTTAAACCGTTTAGAAATAATTTGCAAAAAACCCTACTACTGGGCCCGTCTTCAAGAAGGCGTAGCTCCGTTAGGGAGCATTTTTCGATATCTATTCTTTTGAAAAATCAATATTATTTGTGAGAGAATACTTCACTGTTTCCGTTTGACCACCTAATTTCGGGCCACCCTGTATAAATAAAACAAAAGCAAATTGTCAACATACTCAACACATACATACATAACACGAATAATATGCTTGTGGAACAACATTTTCACTTTCACTTTCTTATTTTTTGCGGAAACTTATTGAATCTTATGCCGCGTTTAGAGGTACGAGACGCCTCACGTTCTCAGGACTTAAGTCTATTAGACTTATTTTAATGGGGCTACTTAAAAATTAAAATATGCGTCACTGAACCAGCATCTTTGACCAAATAACTCCACAGATGACGGCCACTTTGTCACATAGAGTAAGTCAGTTTATAGTAGTAGGACGCTAATGGTCAGTTCTTAGAGACAACTCCTATAGTAGTTCTCAACTACTTCCTAACTTCCTAACTAGGTTAGCTCTAAGTTAAGTCGGTAAATTAGCGGAAAAGTGCACATTAAATTCGATGGCCATACTCCGATGGACCAGTTGTCCATGCCTCCATACCTAATGAGCTAATTAATGCTCATGCTGCAATACCTAAATGACAAAGTGAATTTTTCCAAGAAACACATGGTTACATCATCAAATTATTTTATAAGTGTATGTTTTTGGTCTATATGATGTTTCCAAAAACATACGATAACTTTTGTATCGTATTCGATCAACTCTCTGCAAGGTGTTAAAAACAAATTATCTCTATGATTCATTGAGCGTAGTTCTTATATCTGCACTGCAGCAATTTGAGCGAATTGCTTCTCAAAAACTGTAAATATTTTTTTAGTTTTACTATGAAAGACACGGCAATAAGGCAAATCTTTTAGCCCAAAAAGTATTTGCTGCAGCTAAGAAGTTTCAATTTCGAGTTCCTAATTAATTGGCTTAATTAATTATTTTGATTTATTTTCCTGACTGCGTGCAATTGTTATTATATTCTTATCGTTTCTGGGCCTCAATCAAAGTGTGAAGTAAAAATTTTGACTATCGTTTATTTCATTACGCGTTTAAACATTCATTAGTTCTTGAGGGAAGAAAACCTTCCTTTTGGGATAGGAAACATTTGAAAAACTTACCTACTATAAATGTAGAAAATAATTCAAACACATTTAAGTTTCAAGACAGCAAAGACCTAAAAGAACGTAATGTTTACCAATTATGAGGTAAGTTTTACAAACGTTTTGCTCTCGCAAAAGAAAGGATTTATTCCCTCAAGAACTAATGAATGTTTTAACGCTTTACAAATTAAAGTTTTTGTACAACATATTTTAATTGTCAATTTATGTGTTTTTAAGTAGTTTCTGTAAATTTTAAATCTGATGATGGAGCTGTTCTCTCGCCGAAACGTAATGAAATAAACGATATTCAAAATTTTTCCTTCACACTTTGACTGAGACCCAGGAGGGATAAGAATATAATTAATTAATTGTTTCTCAGAAATAACTAATAACTTTACTTTGCCATACGATTATTATTTAGAGCTGTTTAAAAGCTAGACAGACGGTGGATGTTTAACTAAGAAACTACCAGATTTGTTTATTTTAATCAAACTAAATTGATATGAACGCTGCTAAATGTTGGGCTATAAAATATGTTTATTTTAAGATTCGATATTTTTATAGAAAAGCCTCCAATCGAAAATCAATAGATAGTCAAAACTCACCAGTAGAACTACAGACACACACAAAAAATTACAAAATATCAGTTTACACACACGTTTACGAATCACTCCGTACATAAGCTTTTTTATATACCCTATGATTAGTTATTGGGGCCCGCCCTTTTAAGGGATTACTGGGGCTTACTTGGAAAATACGAAAAAAATTATTTCTCTATCATTTCAAGATGGAATTTCAACGTTCTATTTCTCTTTTTTGTCAACCATTATCCTTCCATTCCTGGATGTAGATCTCTTCTATTTGATTCCATCTTTCCTTATCCTTCGCAAACCCCATCCACTATTTGCCGCCACTTTTCTTACGTCGTTCAACCGTCTTTTTTCCGGTCTTCCCTTGCTCCTTTTTACCTCTCTTGGTCTCCATTCCAGTATTCTGCGCGTCCAATTTCAATTTAGGTACTATAAAAAATATTTTTAAGGATTCAATAATCATTCGGCAAACAAATAAACAAATGCAAATTTTTCTTAAATTTAGACAATATTTATGTGTTGTTGTCAGTTTTCTTGGCTATGCCATTTAAAACGTAATATATTGGAGTATAACAACCTCAAACATACATAAAATTTGACTTGACTGAAACCGTTACATAGATAGGCGCGCGAAATCTGCGATTTTAATAATTATTTTTACATTATATTTATTACAATAAAACTGATTCTTCTGAGAAAGTACGTTGCCTTCTTCCTTGCTGAATGTGAAAGTGGCTGCCACTGAACCGTTCATTGATGAGGTCATACTGAACGCACTTCTCATCAAATTGATAAAAAAACAAGCTCAGTCATAGAAAACCACCAAATTACTTTGCTTATACCTTTCTGGATGTCGATCTTTTGAAGGAAATCCGTATCAAGAAGGGCTTCATCTCAACCGTTCGAAACCCACTTTTTCTGTATGGAACAACTTTTCTTTAACACCAAGCACAATATGAGATCTAAACATTCTTGTAAGCAATGAAAACTGATGTTGGGAAGTGAACTTGAGCTTTCAATTGTTCCTCTTTCAATTCTCAATTGTTAATTGTTAATTATTGTATTGTAAAGTTGTTCATCTCCCAATTCAAGATCAACCTGAAAATTGTATTAATTTTTTCAATTTTAAACTAATCAATAATTGAAATTTTGCAGTTTGGTAAGAAATTTAAACTAATATTTACTTTATTAACTTTATTAACTTACCTTAATTAACTTTACCTGCAAACAATGATGAGGCTTAAAGACTTGTAGGTCGTGCTGCAACTGCTGGTCAATTGTACTAATCGACATCGAACGGTTATCAAATTTAACATTTAAGCAATTTGCATCTGTTTCCAAGAACGTAACTTTTATTTATAGTAATTAATATGGTTGAAAAAATATGGCTCATAAATAATCTGCTATTATTGTTGGGCAAAATCAATTAATCAAAAATGTAAATATAAGATATACAAATATTTAATACTTA